CTTCACACAAGAATCTTCCTCCACCAAACTCCAAAACCCTAGATCTAAAATCTGGGCTCTGATACCACTTGTTGCGCACAGCGGAAATTTCGGCAGCACTTCGACAGCACAATAAGAGAGTCAGGTCGCAATAAGAATTCTTGTTTCTCAAAGGGAATAAGAATCTGAAGCCTAATATCTCATCAAAGTGAGATATTAGCTCTTCCTCTCGTCAGCTCTAGGACTGCGCGTCGAGGGAACCTAAAAGCTATTACAAATCACACAAATAGCAGTACAACCAATTTTACGTGGTTCGACAAATTGCCTACGTCCACGGGGCAAGGAGGGGGGAGATCTACTATTAGAGGGAGAGATTACAACTAGGGTTTACAATCACTCAATCTAAACCCTCAAACAAACTCTTAAATCCCTCACAAACTCTCTCTACAAAAGGAGATACACAAAAGGATTGCACCAAAACAAATCTCCTGCTAAAAAATACCCAAAGCCGAACAAACAATTTATCCTCCTGCGCACAGCACGAAGCCTCTGTTTTTGCACCTGCAGCCGCAAAAATTCCCACGAAACAAATCCTTGCACACACGAAACAAAAAACCTAGGTGACCCTTTTATAATGTGATTGGTTGATTCGGGTGGGCCGCACTTCCTTCTTTGCACAATCCTCACGCGGAAACAAACCGCGTCTCATTCACGTGGCTTCAATCACGTGGTAGACCCCCCACGTCACAGAAGACTTATCACAAGCGAATCTCCAATCATTGATCTTTAATCTCCAAGTAGTTCTTTCACAAGAAACATATAAGTTAAAGAACCAAAATAATTAAAACCAACTTAAGCACCCTCCCCGGCAACGACGCCAAAAACTTGATGCGGCATAAACATGTACCAAAAATATTGTAAGTGCACAACCGTGTCAAGTTATAGTATAAAAAGTTATCGATCCAACGAAGAAGGTGTTTTGTAGGAGAAAATATAAAACGGTTCTTTTGTTGTGTGCGTGATAAATATGAGTGATGAGCGAATGTGATTGTGGAGAGATAGAGAGAATGGAAGTGATAGTGTGTAAATCGGCATAAAATGTAAGTGAGAGTAGATGTAACAAAGAATGGATGATTTTCACAAGGAAAGATGAATAAAATCAAGAATCAAAAAGGAGAATTAAAAATAAAAAGAAAATTTAAGAAATTAAAGATGTCGGATTCAATTAAAGATATGGGTAATCTAGAATTGAATCCACTTCTTAGAAAATGGTGATTCCCTAGAGGGTTCTAGCCTAAAGACTAATCAAAAAAAAATAAAAAATAAATAAAAACAAAAACTAATCCCAAGAGGGTTCTAGCCTCAAGGCGAATAGTATAAGAAAATAAAATCTAAACTACAAAATAAATTAAAAAAATTAAGCTACAAAATAAATTGTGAGAATCAAATGCGAGAAAATAAAGACATGAAATAAATCTAATATATAAGCATGAAATAAATCTAATCTATAAGCATAAAATAAATCTAAGACAAGAGGGTTCTAGCCTCTTAGCTATTTAACAAAAAAATAAAATCTAACTACAAGCATAGAAATAAATCTAAACTAATAAGTAATAAAAAAGAAATAAAAGAGAAAAATAAAAGAAATGCAAACCTCCAAATAATTCTTCATCTCCATCTTCATCATCCAAGAAAGAGAAGAAATATTTAAAATGGTAAAAAAAATTTATTTTATTAATTGTAACAAAAGTTATAAATTTGGAAGGCCTTCTCAATTAAGAGTGGTCCTCCTCTCCATATGGAGTTACAAAAATTTTCACACCCTCAACCCCTCACTCTCTACCCCTATTTATAGTAAACATCAGTGAATGAGAGCCATTGAATTAAAATCTTATCCAAAACAAGCAAATTTTAGCCATGGATCTGTAACAGAACGACATAGGTATCGATACCCATATCACTCCTTTTGCAATCCGCTGATTTCCTCTTTCATTTGGCTTTGGCTTTGGGCTTTTGGACTTGGGCTTGGGCTTGGGCTCTTTCATGTATTTGCATATATTCTTCATTAATTCATGGGCTTTGTTGAGAGAAGAGCATATATTCTTCATTAATTCATGGGCTTTGTTGAGAGAAGAGATATTGGGCTTTTTATTTTTGATTAATATGTAATTAAAGATAAAAATAATTATTAGTGGCATATTTATTCATATAAAATAGATAATGAGGGTATAAAATTGTAATAAAATGTGATTATCAATAACACACGCTACAACTACGATTCCCACTATCCCTCAGTTCCTACTAGCTATATTGTTGATCCCAGTGGTACTACCCCCTTTACTTATCCAATAAGAATGACAGTTATGGCCCCTCTAGACTCTTCTTCTAAATATTTCATTTCACTTTCTCCGATAGAATGACAACAAATGTGTGAGAATGTTCTATCATGGCTAGACATTCTGTCTCTTCTTATCCTCCACTTCGACCTCTTTGACGTCCTACTTATCTACTATAGAGATTGAACGTTTGGAGATGAAAAAAGTGGAAGAAACAATTGGAAAAAAAGAAGAAGAAGAAGCTCAAGTACCCGTTCCTAATAAACAAAAAAGTAGAAGATAGTTAATGAGTTTGGCCTTTTTTCGAAAAAGCATAGATGATGTCGGTAACATAGTGGCGCCTTGTTTAACTTGCAAAAGCATCTATAAATATAAGAGTAATTGGGGAAACTGAACACTCTCGGCAGTTGAGAGAGAAACACACAAAACTTTTGGGTTTGGAAAAAAAATAAAACTCAATTTCAAATTATTGGAGGCACAGGTGGGTTATCCACATTTAGGTATAAGCTCGAACTTGCTAAGGAAAACTTAGTTAAGTTTATTGTTCAAGCTAAACTTCATTTTAGCATATTTGAGAATGAATTTTCTTAAATATATATTTTTATTGTGTCCATAATATCAAAAAACTTAGCATAAGAACGATTACAAAAGAAATTGAACGCCTCGGGGCATTGAAAAAACTTTTATGAATGCTACTTTATCTATTGTAGCCACCAAGATAGCTTTAACTTCTGATGTTTGGAAATCTCTTAATCACAATCATTATATTTATGTTACTACACACTATATTGATGAATATTGGATTTTGTAGTAAAGAATTTTATCTTTTAGGAGGTTTGATTATCCGCATAACGCACAAGGTGTCTGTGAAGCAATTTCATAAACCTATCATGATTGTGGGATAGAGAACAAAATTTTTTCCATATCTTTTGACAATGCTTTAGAGAATACATTGGCGATTTTTTCTATATCAGTTTCTTTCTCCCCTTCAAATCATAATTAACTTGATCATTGAAGGAATCACCGGATAACACAACTCCGATCCTCTAATGTGTCGCATATGTGCAAGACTCTCTTCCTATTAGGGGATCAACTATCAAAGGAGCTTAGGGGACCCTAAAAACTCTCCATAATCTACAATAAATTTTCTTGTTTGATATCTAACATCAACAAATATATCTAATTATTAATATTACCTCTCATGCTTATTACATTAATGGTTATGTAATAAATTAAATAGAATGCATTTTTATGGTCCATGTATGCATATATGTGCTTTATGTATGCATGTATATGTGTTGAAGGTATTTTTGGTCAAAAACATCTTTACATCCAACACACTTTTATAATAGTATAAGATAAGATTTTACTCGATAATTATCGATCAACACAATCAAATATTTTAAGTAGAAACATCACATTCTAAGCATGTGATACAGATTTAATAGATTTGGTCTAAACTAGTTTTGTTTTAAACTATTCCCTCTAAAGCTGGGTCGGGATTGAACCTAGCCTAGTTTTGGGTGACTTTTTTGTCTGCAAAAAAACTATGCGAAAGTTGGCATGGCTTTTACAGGCTAAAATGATCACTAAATTGGTTTTAGTTTAGACCACCTCCCCCTTCGACCAAACTAAAATCAATTTAGGATGAAATTGGGTTAGGATTGTTCCTAGCCTAGTTTTTTTATCAATTGTCAAACACATCTTAGGGAGTGTGAACTAAAATAAAACCAATTTAGAGCCAAAAACTAGCTTAATACAAAACCAGTTCTAAAATCTTGGGCTTTTGCTAGATTAGAGTGATCAGTTTAAACTGTTTAGTTCCACTAAGGACCTGTTTGGATTTGTAGGAAGGGAAGGGAAGGGAAGAGAGTTCCCTTCCCCTTGGTTACACCCCAATTTGGGGGTAACAATTTTTATACTATTAGGAGGTGAACCAATTCCCCTTGGTTACACCCCAATTTGGGGGTAACAATTTTTATACTATTAGGAGGTGAACCAAGGGGAACTAGGGTGAATTAACTTCACCAATTTGGGGGTAACAATTTTTATACTATTAGGAGGTGAACCAAGGGGAACTAGGGTGAATTAACTTCACATCCTAAGTGTTCCCAAACAAGATGAATGGAGGTGAATGGTTCCTCTAACATCCCTTCACCCTCATTCCCCTCAATCCAAACAAGCCCTAAATTAGTTTGGGAGTTACCACGAGACTGTAATTACATAATCTAAAATCTAGCTTTCCATAATAAAAAAAATCCAAATGTAGCTATTGATATATCAACTTATAGCGATTTAGACCCAAATTATAGCAACTGAAACAAAAAGTGCAATAAAATAAGTCTTATTTTTTTTGCTCTGGTTACGCATTCGTTTTTCATTTTGATACCCAAGCTTCTTTAGCACTTTAATACCTCAAATAGTCAAATCTTACTGGTGATATAAAAGTGGAATGGGATCAAAACTTTAATAAGATATCGAAGTGTTAGAACAACCATCTGGGCGTATCAAAGTGAGAAAAGGGTAAACATGGTGCCAACCTGGAAAATAAGCCTTAATTCAGTATGGATATTTGAATTTAAGATTGCTTTGGAGACACGATGGATTTAAAAGTAAATCAGATTATAGTTTTGGGTTTATAAACAAAACCCAATAGTTTATTAGAAGCTGCTGATGTAAAAAGGACAGCTCTATTTGCTGATGAGAGTAGGGAGGAAAGGATGGGGTCTGGGAAATGGACTTCACTCTTTTGGGGAGGAAGGGGAGTGGGCCCATCTGGGTTTGGCTCTTCTTCCACAGCGGATCAGGTCACCGAAGGAATTGATGCGGGTAACCTCACCGCCATTGTCACCGGTATGATATGCTTCAGCTTCACTTTCCTTCTTTGGTTTCTGTCTATGCTTGAATCTTGTTTGTGAATATTCAGATGTGTCCTGAAATGGGATATTTTTTCTGCGTAAAACAAGAATTATATAGAAAATTTTGGTTCATCTTTGTTTGGAAAGGTAGGGGAGGGGGATGAGAGGAAAAATTGAACTAAAATCTTAGCTCATAAATTGAGGGTAAAGAAGGGGAAGGGAACCAAAGGAAAAAAATTTCCCTTCCTTCCCTTCTTAGTCTATCTCCCAAACACACCAATAAAGATTAGATAGTTTATAGTTATCAACAATTGAACATGCGAAGTAATTAGCAGCAATTATTGAAACTGTGTTATTAATGAAAGTTTGAAAAAGTAAGAAAACTTATTGTCGTGATTGGTTGATGTCTTCTGAAATGGGACTCAAGGGAGCAGAAATTTCGTCCTGATCATTGGGCTGATATATGATTCAGCACATTGCAACCTTTTTTTTCCCCTCAACCAGAACAACAGAAACTAGTCTAGCTAACTAAAAGGAATACGATAATTGATACACGTTCATGTCTTTTAAGTTACATGTGGCTACTAGTGCAAATTGGGTTTGAACAAACTTTTTTTTGAGCATATTTACAGCATACAACGTAGATCTTCAATAAGGAAGAAGAGATTTTTATATCAATTTTGAGGCTTTAGACACAACTTTGCCTTCAAGGAATTATAAATTCAGTGGAAATATAGGTAAATGTGTTTCATACCATGTCTAGTTCAGAGAACAAGCGTGCAATTTTTGATATTAGGTGCAACTAGTGGAATCGGAATTGAGACAGCCAGAGTACTGGCCCTTAGGGGTGCCAATGTGATCATTCCATGCCGAAGGCTAGATAGTGGCTTAAAGTTACAAGAAAGAATTTTGGAAGAAAACCCCAATGCTAGAATTGAAGTTATGGAGATGGATTTAAGCTCTCTTGATTCCGTTGAGTCATTTGCTCGCTGCTTTTGTTCTTCGCATGAACACCTAAACATACTGATGTAAGTTGTTCTATCGTTACCCATTTATGATTTTAAGCCTCTCTTGTTAGCATGCTTGATACTTTGATGTGATTGATAATGTATACGTTGTTTGAATAGTAATAATGCAGGAATATTTGCTTGCCCCTTCCAACTGTCCGTGGATGGAGTTGAGCTGCAATTTGCTACAAATTATCTTGGTAAGTGATGGGATGATATATACTTATATGTTATAAAGTTTGGGGTGCCAAGCAAATTTATTTGTTTCTTTGCGGGTAACTGGGTTGGAAAGACTACTTAATCGAGCAATTTGAAGAACCCCCCCCCCCCCCCAAACAAAAAAAAAACAAAAAAAACAAAAAAACAAAAAAAAGAACCCATTTAACATCTTGGGAAGTTTCCCTCTGCACCACACGTTGGTCAATTATAAGGGAAAATTCTCTTTGGGTGTTCTTATTGTGAATGATAGGATTTGAACTCAGGACCTATTACTTGGAAGAGCAATATCTTGGTCATCTATCACACAAACTTCTAGTTGAACTTCAACTTTGGGTTAAGAAAATTTCACTACTTTGATTAATTTTCTTTAATGCAGGACACTTCCTTCTGACGGATTTGTTATTGGACAAGATGAAAACCACTGCCAAAAAAACAGGGAGACAGGGAAGGATAGTCAATGTTTCAACTTTTGGTCATACAAGAAATTTTGATGAGTCTTGGTTTGATCTGAATAAGATAAATGATCGATCAAAGTAAGTCTATAAAGTCACAGTATGTTTGCATGTCCTTAGAGCCCTGTTTGACAAAAGATTTACTGAGGGATTAAGAAAAAAGATTTAATAGTTAAGCCTGTTAGGTAATGACTATGTTGCTTTTTATGCTCTTTCTAACTAGAAGAGTTATTCATTAACCCATCTAAAAAGGCAAATTTTTTATACCTAATTGAGAGGTTAACAAATTTAAATCCATCTAGACAAGTTATCTTAGCATTTTGTTAACTTTTATATTTGACAAATTAGGATGTGTTGTAGACTGTAGTTGACTGGGTGAGATTATTTATATATGTATGGCAAGCTAGAAAACAATAGACCTTTCCTGACCTATTCCCTAACGGAGCCTAATATGTTAATTATATTTTCCTATCTTGCTTTCAGTAGAAAAGTCTGGTGGGATCTGATTTGTACTACTAATTTTTCATTTGGCAGGTATGATCGTTTTGGTGCCTATTCTCACTCCAAGCTTGGAAACATTTGGCATGCAAGTGAGCTCTCTCGTTGTTTACAGGTACCAAAGACTTCAAGTTTCAATTACGTACATTTCATAGTGGTTTCTTAAGCCAGTGTAAGCAGGATTTATAAGATGAAGATCTGTTTGGCACTACTTTGTGCTCGTATGTATCAAGATAAAAAGTAAGTGTAAATTTTAGAACCCCCCGTATTTTGGCCCATTTAGAGATAACCACTGTGAACTTAACATACCCCAAACATTTTACACAGTTTTCAGAAAAAAACCCATGAACTTTTGATAAAATTTCAGAAATCCCCACCACTACATTATTAGGGGGATGTAAAATTGCAACCATTTGGGGGAATTTATAACATGTCCAAAAGTTAGGGGGGTTGAATGATATTTTTAAAGACAGGGGGTTATCTTAAATTTGGCCAAAAGATAAGAGGTTGTGTCAAATTTGAACTTTACCATATAAGTAATGCTCCTGTACAAAGAAGTTAGCATAATTACTACATCTTCAAATTGTTCTTCTCTAATAAAGGCAGGTCACTGATTCACAAAGAGTTAGATATTACTTCACGGAATTCAGTATTTAGTTTAGTCTGCATGCTACTTCTAATCTCTTAAGACTTTATATAGTTTTATAATGCACTATATTTTTAACCACTAAATGGACTGGAAGGTTTAATGTTACTGTGAATTGCTCTGTTGATTCTCCTCAAGTGACAGTGATGTGAAATTTATCTTTTAAACAGAACATCATGCAATGATGCATTCCTTGATCACCACTATTATCCCAAGCAAGGTTTCAATTTCGGATATCGGGGTTCATGTCGAACGGCTAAAATTCATGTAAAGTCGGGGATATGTTGGAGGACATACACTAAATTTCGGATTGCCATATGGGGTGGTGTGCATACACGTGCTAAATAAAATCTAAGCATTCCTAAATGCAATTTAAGCATACCTTATAAATTCTACTGTCCAGACGTATACCAAATAAATAACATATGATGTTTAGGGTTACTAACTGATTGTAGAAACTTGATTCCCGGATAACCGTGTTTGATAGGGAAAAATAAAGAGATCGGTGGGCCTGCTTACCTTAAGTCCTCGACGAAAAACAAAATTTGAATTAGAAGTTAGAACAAGGGAGACCGAAGTCAAAGAAACTGAGCAAAGCTCCGACCCGCGAAATCCCTTTGCACAATCTGAGATTGACAAAGAAACAAAGAATAGCAAGAGAAAGAGTTGAGTGTTTAGTTCTTCGTCGCCGATTTGAAAGCTTGATGATGAAATCGGAGGGGCTTCGAAATTGTGATGTCAAAGGAACGAGAGAAAAGGGAGAGCGATGTTTATTTTTCTTGCTCTAATTTGCTATCGGGTTTTATTTGCCCTAGACAACTATCGGAACAAAAGAGAACATCATTGGGTTTGGGTTTTGCCGTTTTGGGTAACAAACCCAAACCTGAATACTAAAAAAAATCCCAAACGCACATAAAAAAAATCCCAAACGCATATAACTTGATATCAACTGACTTTTACACCTCAAATATCGGCCCCAATGTCCGCAATGGCGTCCTACATGTCCGATATGAGCCGGAAAAACAACATACGACTTTGAAATCCTAATGTTGTGTCGTCACGACTCGTCAGCCCTCCTGATCCGACATGGTGGCCAACATTTAAAACATTGATCCCAAGGAATGGTTTTCATGTCATCTTTAGATTGTCATTGATGGATATCAGACAAGAATAGCTTTTGTTAAAGATTTCCTTTCATTTTTTGTTCTTCCTTTTCCTTTATTTTAAAATATTCATAATTTATCAATACTAGGAAGGTATGAACTAGTAATAGGGTCCATGTCATTAACAAACGAACATCCTCCAAATAGTTGTAAACTATGTTTGGAGCTACTGAAAGCTGTGCAGCATACATGAGTAGTAAACAAATACCTGCAACTACCTGTTAACGAATATTAACTATGTTTTTAGCATCCGTGATCCTACTATTATTTTCAAGACGAAAGCCATTAAAAGGTTGAGAATTCATTTTTTTCCCCTTTCCACCATGTTGCGATCATTGTGCTCTTAGCCTACATCTTTTCAAGTGTAAAATTCATGCAGATTAACTGTGATTCAGGAAGAAGGCTGTAATGTTACAGCGAACTCTCTACATCCAGGAGTTATAGCTACCAACCTAACCCGTTTCATGAACTTGAAGCGTAAATATTCTTCAGTCAACTCTCATCTTTCCTTGTGTTGTCCATTCTTCAGATAGAATTTCTTCCTACGCTTTTCTGATCAAATGAGTTTCCTTACTTGTCAGAATTCACATTGGAATCAATTGCTTTTGTTTTCAAGCTGTTCATAAAAACCATTCCACAGGTATGAACATTTTCCTATATTCTTGTTTCATTTATATATGAAAGAACTTGACCATGATCGGGTAAAGCTTTTGTCTTGTTATAACTGATGTTTCTGGTATCATTGCTTTCAGGGGGCAGCAACTTCTTGCTATGTAGCTTTACATCCAGCAGTAAGGGATGTAACGGGAAAGTATTTTGTCGACTGTGATGAGGCTTTGCCTTCTCTTGCAGCAAGAGACAAAGAGTTGAGCAGAAAGTTCTGGAACTTCACAAAGGAACTGTTGGTTAAACTCAGAAAGGCTAATGCGCACTTTGGAGAGTAACCTTGTTTTGGTCACCTCTGAAGCACTTAATGATAATTGATTTATAGAATTTCATTGTTGATTCAGACTTCGAACTAGCAGAGAAGGAAGGGTGATGTAAGTGATGACCATGTGTCGAATTGGCTTAGCAATTCAGTTTTATCTGATCCATGTAATAATCCTACAACTCAAATCTGTTAGGTTTCTTCTGCGTTAGAAGACTCAATATTGGATCTTTTCCCTCTTGTCCTTGGTCCTGGGCAAGTTTTTAGTACACCTGAAATTATAGTGCGACGAGCATTTGTAATCTATAGTTGCCAGTTTATACATTGTTGGCTGGCAGTTAATTAGCTTTTGATTGAAATGTCTAGACATCGCATAGGATATTGCGCCCTCTTCACTTGGTTTGGTTGAAGATCACTTTGGAGCTTCAAACCCCTATTGCTTTGTAGCACTTTCCGATTCCTGCATTGTTCGCTAAAGGTGCCGCAATTACTGTACTTAGTGGATTCCACAGCTTAAGACTAAAGGATTGTTGATATGTTGTTGCTTGTTATTATACATGAGATAACATTCATGTTGGATATCATGTTCTAATGATATACTTTTGATGATAACAATTTATTCATAATGTCAATAGCTATGTGTATGTACTAACATCTCAATGTAGTTATCAACATGAACAAGTACAAAATGAGTTTAAGGCATCAAGAAGTAAAGAAGATGAAGAGCTTATGTATCAATGTAATTTTTTATATTTTCTTTACTTAGAAATATTGTACAAGCATTGATCACTCACATATACACACACATAGAGATTAGAACACATTAACACATGCTTAATGGTTGGTTAACAATAGAAATCCCCTATGTTAACCATTAGAGTTTTTAGTTAATCATTGAGTCTAAAATATTTCTTACTTGATTTTTTCACCCCTTAGTAGTCGACTAATTAGATTAGTAGTCGACTACTAAAGTCTAATATTAGAATATAAGTTTTTGTAAAATTACAGAGTAGTCAACTACTAAAAATTATAGTCGACTACTCAGCTTTGAATTTTTGATTTACAGAACTTTTGTTTTACAGAGTAGTTGACTACAACTAACTATAGTCGACTACTGAGCATTGAAGTTTATTTTACAAAACATCTGTTTTACAGAGTAGTCGACTACTAAGGATTATAGTCGACTACTCAGCTTTAATTTTTGAATTCCAGATTTTCTGTTCTATAGAGTAGTCGACTACTAAGATAGTTTTTCTGAACGTTTCAGATTTGAATTTGAAACATTTTTTAGCCATTTATATCCGTTTAATGAGTTCAAAAATGTGTCTTTTCAAGGGATATAAATAGGTTAGAAGTTCAGAATTTTGGACCACGAAGATATAAAAATAAGATTGAATTTTTCTGAAACTCAAGTGAAAGAAAATCTGATTTTTACTTGAGTATTGAGAAAAACAAAATTCTGCAACAACAATTGTTCATCTTCATTTATACAAGATTTTGAAAAGAATTCAGAGAACAAAAGAGTCTATAAGCCACTTCATTTATACAAGATTTTGAAAAGAATTCAGAGAACAAAAGAGTCTATAAGCCACTGTTGCACATCATAAACTTATCAAGGCTTATAGGAGATTTGTATATTGATTCAAGGAAAGGATTCTCTCAAGTGTGAGAGGTGTTATCTCTTGGTGAAGAGATTGGTTGCAATTCACATGATCTTGCAAATTGGTCAGGTTTGAGTTTTGATTTTGTACGTTTATTCAAAATCATAGTGGAAACTCTTAAACGGGAGTTGCTTGGGGACTGGATGTACACCTGGAAGGTGGAACCAATATAAATCATTGTGTTTGTATTGTTGATTTTCTGTGATTGTCATTTCTTCTTTGCAATTTATTATCTACTTTGCATAAAATTTTATAAAATGCTATTCACCCCCCTCCCTCTAGTGTTTTTAGTGTGATTAGATCAGATCCTATAATTCAATCGTCATAATGTCTGTGAACTCTTTTCCTTTCTTGAAGTATTTATTTGTGTATGTTTGATGCATGATTTACAAATATCTTGTGCAAAGACTGCTCTTCCCACTCCCCCCCAAGCCTCCAAAGCCCCCTTCTCCAAACCAAACACAAGTCTTACCAGAGTCCCTCGCATGCAAGCAAGCGACTTTGAAATCTTATCAGAACACATTGCAAATACCAGCAAGCTGTTTTGAAGTATAATGAGGAAGTTGAAATCTCCAAATTGTCATTGTATTCATCCCCTGAATGCTTCAGAGCTTTCCCTATATACTATTCAAGAGACAAAAACATAACTAACAAATTTCGTTGGAGTACTTGCGCATTCGAGCAGCCATATTTTTGGATTCAATTCTTAATCCATTTGGTCGCTTGAGCTATGATCATTCAAGAATCTTTTTTGGATTAAATTCTTAATCCATTTTGTCGCTTGAGCTATGATCATTCAAGAATCTTCTTCAGTTATTGCACTACGCATTACTTGTGCCTATAAGTCATGTTATGGATGGCGAAGGGAGCCTATGCTATTATTAATACAAACAAATCGTACTAATGACCCAACGATAAAGGGGTTAGTTGAATTTACTAGTAAACTTATCCCAATTTAGAACTTTTTTAACCTTTTATGTTTGTTGGATTTACTATTAAACCTATCAGAGTTATATTTTTACCTATTCTAATTTTAGTTTAAAATAAAATTAGGACATGTATTAATAGTTTCTCTAGCGACTTTTTAGTATTAAAAATTAACCGGTTGTGCACCCATGTACAAATTTTTCATGAAAATCTCTTGTGAGGGAGACCCGTAGCCCCGCCCCCCCCCCCCCCCAATGAAAAATGGGGACATTTGTCTAATTTAGGGTTACTTGTACTCCTGCATTATCTTTGCCATGTCATCAAAACCCTTCCACTTCGTCTAACCATACTCACCTCAATCTTCTAGTATTCCTAAAACTAGTATTTAGACCCGTGCAAAGCACAGTTTCTAAAAGATTTTCTGTAAATACTGAACATGCTACCTGTTGGGCAAAAACAACCCCGTGTCGTTGAACCAAACCAAACACCGATCAAAGAGGGCGAAAACCAACCAATGTCAATGCACAAACAAAACACCAATTTTTAACGTGGTTCGGTAACTGCCTACGTTCACGGGGTAAGAAGAGGATGGGGTTTTCACTAATAGAGAAAAAGAGTACAACTTGAGATTACAAATCACTCGAAAGAACAAACTAATCTCACCAACAAAGCTCTTAATCTCTCCAAATAAACCCTAATCAAATAGCTCAGAAAATACCTCTTTTCTGTGCTCCAAATATCCCAAACTCTTGCCTTAGAAACCTTAGAAACGTATATTGGTATTTATACAAATACCAAAATCCAATAAGAACAGGAAACCAAACATGGGCCTGACCCGCTACGCGGTCGACCGCGACCAATGACAGAACCTAGAAAAACTCCTATAGGGTCTAGCGGTCGACCGCGGCGGTCGACCGTGACAAACGACGGAGCCCAAAAATACATTACAGGGTCTAGCTGTCGACCTCGCCAAGTCCAGACTCATACATGAGCCTGTGCACGTTCGCGGTCGATCGGCCTTGCGCCGCGATCGACCGCGTAGCTCCAAAACAGATCCATGTGTCCCAAAAACATGTTCTTCTTCGAAATTCTTCACGGTTTCTTCAATTCTCCACCTCGGTAAAGTTTCTACCAAAACTGAGCCGATACTAACCAAGCCAAATGCCTCACTTGTTGCATCCAGTACACTATAGCAACAGACTCATGACAACAGATTCCATCTATACAAGTCGAGACCCAAACGGGAGTGCGAACAAGCACCCAAACGTCGATGTCTACTCACCAAATCGGCTGCATCATTAAGACTGCCTACATATCCTCTTGCCCAAGGAATCAAGCCTTCACGTAGTTCACCCAACGGCCTCCAAAGACTCTCAAACAAATAGAAAAGTCTGCAACTCTTCCCTAATATCGTCAACGGATTTGTAACTGATAGCGGTCCCAAACTTATACAAATCAAACACCTCCATCTGAGGTGAACCAATGGCCGTATCCAAATCATGTCCACTAGCTACAACCGAATCCAAAACCAATCCATCATTTGTATCCGAAATCAAATGATCTCCAACCTGTGTCACCTCAGCTGGAATCCTAAATGACGCAGTATGATCTGGAGTATGTGGAATAAGTTCCACCCAACGTGAAGTAGCATCACCCTCCACCTGCTGCGATATCCAAACGACCTGATCAACACTCTCCACCTGCCGAGAGTCAAAAGTGACATACCTGCTCAGAACAAAATCAGAAGCTCCCAAACGATAATCAAATGAGCCTCCGAATCCCAAACGCGCAATCGGATCAAATCTCACATCCTCGATGTGACCAAATGCTGGGTATCCAAATATCCGACGCAACCCAAAATCTGAAGCAGCTCCACCAGATCCAATAACTCCTAATGCAGCAGTCGGTGACCTATGACTAAGATGACCCAAATATGTTGAAACTCCAGAACCAGAACCAATGCTCGACAACCAACACCGATCCTCCTCCAGAAAGGAACGACCCATCGAAACTGTTATCTCATCTCGTCGCCCCAAAGTCTCCACATCAATGAAGTGTTTCAAGTTGCCATTAGCTCGTCATAAACGCAAGAAAGGACCCCTACCAAAGCTAGAACAATGAGTTACCTTTCTACCAATACACTTCTTCCAATTGTTGTTGACTTCTAGGACTTTGCACCAATGGGAACTGGTCGCGACCCAATAATGCCTAGAACAATCACCAATTGTGGAAACTACAAAACGATTACCTCCCAATGATGTCTCCTTGGAAGGCCCCTAAATGCCTGACTGAACACCTCTTAGAAGATCCCTCGCTCGATGGATAGAAGTGCCAAACTCCACCATGGTCTTGCTCATCCCAATGTGCTCAAAGGACTTCCATCTGCAGGTCAAAGCACTCCTCAACAACCTATGCACAGCATCACCAATCATATATCCCAGCACCAAACAATGCCACAGTCTAGCCAAAGAAGTCGTCAGCGCTCTATCAATCACCGTGCTCCCAAGCAAATAGTTCATCACAATCATGGACCCAAATGTAACCTTCAAACGTGCATCCGCTAAGGTCACCCTATAGCCTACTATCTCCAAAGCTCCAAGTGAAATAATATTCTTCTTCAACTGAGAAACGAACCTCGCTCCAACCAACTCCTGAATTACTCCGTCACTCATCCTGATCCGAACAATGCTAATACCACTAATAGGGCATTCATGATCATTATCCATGAGCATGAAATCCCCTCTTTCTAACTCCTGAAAGCTGGAGAACCAATCCCTCC